TTAATGTTCTGCCAGTTGAAACCGTTTAATTCCAAGCAGAGTTAGAAGGTTCTATCTGCATTTACCCTGATTTTTGAACCCCAATTTGCAAGTTGAAGAGAATTTTGATCATTTACATTTAGAGTACATTTAGGGTCTTTGTCATGTTAATGTATGAAAGAGAACTGTTACACACATATTGTTTGCTGTATGGAATGCAGAAACATTGAAGCTCAATTTCTCAAAATCATTTAGAACGCAGGCAGAACCTTACAATTCCAAGGTGACAAATTGTTAATGATGACTGCATAAAGGTAAAGATAACAAAATTGGTAAACCTCTAATTGAAATCCAGGAACTTATTCAGAGCTGTACAGAGATGCAACAATTATAGATTTTGGTTGTATGATTATAATCTGAGGAATAATAACAATTTCACAGTTATCATGATTAATATTCATTCATCAGTTTCAAAACACTACTAGTTTAAAAAATCACATGAAAATTCCTCACATAAAAGTGTTATTTATTGCTGCTCAGTAACCAATTAATGCAGCACAAAATAATAATAAAAAACAAACTTTGGACTTAAAAATAAGCGGGAAAAAAGTTTTTGCCATTTAAACATACATAATAATTTTACACTGAAAATAAATGATAGAGCAATGAATAAATAAATTAAGAAATTAAGAAATTTAAATGAGAATAAATAAAATATAGTATTTATCTTGACAGTATTTTTCTTTTAAAGAGAACAAATGCAGTCAAAGGCTGCTGAACCTGTCTGAAGGCACTTTTGATCAACTATATTATGAAATTGTTTGGTATTTTCATTTTGTTTTGTTTTTTCTCTTTGTACTAGAAATATTTATATTTCATACAAAGTATAAAGCTGAACAGTCAGTGACGCCGATTACACGTTACTCCCAATATGCAGCGCAAGAAAAGAAATAAACTTGTGCGCACAAAAGACGAGACATGTAAATAGTCCTAAGTTAATAGCCTCAGCCATAGTTAATATGGTGTGTGTGCATAATATTTTAGTCTCGGTGTATAAGCTTGGAACTTTAAACTAGCGCACAGTTGGTATAACTTTGCTTAGTTGCAGCAGTTTTGTTCTGTGCAGAAACATGGTGTCAAAAACCCTTTACGATTAATTAAATGTGATGAATTAAAGTGCAGGCGATGCAGTGACGCAGTAGGTAGGGCTGTCGCCTAACAGCAAAAAGGTCTCTGGGTCGAACCTCGGCTCAGTTGGCATTTCTGTGTGGAGTTTGCATGTTCTCCCTGCGTTCGCGTTGGTTTCCTCAGAGTGCTCCGGTTTCCCCCACAGTCCAAAGACATGCGGTACAGGTGAATTGGTTAGCCTAAAGTGTCCGTAGTGTATAAGTGTATGTGTGTTTGTCAAAGATGGGTAGCGGCTAGAAGGGCATCCGATGCGTAAAAATGTGCGACCCCGGATTAATAAATGGACTAAGCCGACAAGAAAACTAATTAATTAATTCATTCATTAAAGTGCAGTTAATAGTGCGAACATTAAATCGTTGCATCCCTAGGGCTGTTATTGTTAACTTAATGTATTAAAAATCACTTTTGTTAAGTGAAATAAAGCTGACATACAATAATAAAGACAAAGAAAATATATTAAACAAGTTAAAAGTACTGAAGTTATTAAACCTACAATAGAGAATTAAATCCAAATAAAAGCATTAAAAAGCAAAAACTAATAAAATTTGACTAAAGCACAAAACAAAAACTAATTAAAATTATTCCTATTAAATTATAATATTAAAACAACACTGCAATTTTCCTGATTTCCTGATCCTAAAAAAAATTATTCAGGCTTGTAAAAAGTGTATAAAATTAATTTTAGGATTTTTCTATATTCGATATCAGATGAAGTCTCCTGTAATATCAACAAATGTTTGATTTCTAGTGGGAACCTAAAACATTTTTTTCTTCAGTAACTTCCATGTCAGACACTTTCTATTCACAAAGTAATTGAACCATAGCTGATTGTAAAGAGGGTATTTCTGCAGTGGCATTGCTGTGCATGATGCTGTATTCAAGTCAGTGCAACATAAATACAAAATTATTGAATGCCCTTTAAACTATTTGTTAGCTTAAAAATGTCTTCAATAAGTCCACAAACAAACAGATTGATGCATGTCATTGGTTTGGGTTTGAGTTTTACTTTATAGCCTATACAATATTTTCAAGCAGAACTTCTATTCACTGTCAACCTATGGATTTTAATTTAGTTTTCTTTCAGTTCCATGAACACTGGAGCCTTGAAATTAATTGGTGATGCGGTGAACGGGTACATGAACATTTCTGAAAGAGCACAAGCACATCAGAGCAAAAGCCACAGCTCATCCAATCAGGTGAGAAGGACATCAGGTCCACAAGTGCACTCACACAGTTGTATGACATTGGTTTAATTGTAGTTACTAACAATGTCGCGGTCACACTAGAGTTTAAGCATGCATTGTACGGCACTGCGAAAAAGGGGTGCGATAAACAAGATGACGACGCCCAGAGCAAATGCGTGAAAGCCTGCTGTATGTTACAGTCTTACTAGCCAATTGAGTAAGCACACTTTCATTCTGCCCGATCAGGATTGAGCAACCAAACTATGCGTAACTATGCGTAAAATAAAGAAAACAAACAGGAAAGTGCTGATAAATGAGATTATGGCGTCTGCTCCCTCAGAAACATTAATTGACTAATTCATATCAAAGAAAAACTACAATGGTAATATGGGAACATTTTGGTGTCACAGACACCGAACAAAAACAAGCAATTTTTTAAGAGCTGTCGCAGAATTGTTGCCATGGTATTAAATCGTAAATCAAATCGCAATAGACGAATTACCAACCTACTTCACACATGAAGTCACACGGGCCTCCAGTTGCAAAAAAAAAGACCGGCTGCAATACCAAACATGTCATGTTGTGCGGTAGAATGCCAAATCCGATGCCAACTGCAGAAGTCTTTGGCTAAAAGGGAGCTGAATGAAGTGACGACCTAATTATAAATGCTCAACTCTGCAGTACTCATGTTATAACAGGTAAGTTCACTCTATGCTGAATCAAACACTTTACTTGTTTTTGATTGCAGCAATGATTTCAGCAAAAACAGTTACATATGGCTAATTAAACTGCAGACACTGAATGCTAAGAATGAAACGTGAAAGTGTAAGTTATTAAGGTAAAGTTGGTTTTATATTCACACAATCATTCAGTGACAACCTGTGAGGCACTCCCTATATTGTTTACCATAGTACTTTGAATATTCAGTCTGAAATTACCTGCAAGCGCAACTTGAAAACAACATTAACACTGTTTATTTGACTGTGAACAATGTTGTACTTATAGTTATTGGCTGCTAATATGATTTTGCTATTTAGAGTTTGCAAATAAAACCTTTTCGAAATTATATTATTAAGGAGAAAGTCAGAATGTGCGAATATAAAACCAACTGTACCTTTATGTGTAGGTTCACATACCCTGCCGTACAGGTGTAGTTCGCTGTCAGAATGCAGTCGTTTTGCTTGTTGATGATTAATTACCCAGGCCTTGTACAGTTCCGTCTTCTTTCCTTGTCTTTGGCTAGGCAGAACCTGTTTTTAGCACTAAATAGTGTTGAATCAGGTAATCATGGAGCATTGTTTCTTGCACATGACCACACAAAACAAAACTGTAGGCATCCAAAGACATGTAGGCCTTTAACTTCTCTCTTGTAAAATTACTTGGAGCTTCAAGAAGATTGTATAGTTCAGGATGGATGCTTGGTCATTTCGTCTTGTCCAATATTCATTGGGAGGGTGCTATCGTAAAAGGACCTGTCAGATGAACGCCGCTCACTTTAACGTTAATTTTGAAGAATCACTGTGCTTGCCTGTGGGTGACTAGCTGTTATAAACCGCTGAAAGCATTATGTAAATACATAATATGTAATCCATATATTTTATTTCTAAGACAACAACAAACTCTGTACCGCATCGGATGTCATTCCTTCGCTGTAAATGCTAGCGCGTCTAGTTTTTTTTCTGCCACCTCTCTGCGCGCGCATCCTGAATGTTTACAAACATGGTAATTGGTCGATATGTCAAAAAAATGTAATTAGATATTTTCCCCAAATCACACAGCCCTAGTGTGCATGTTGAAGAACAAGATTGCATTATGAAGCTCCACAAAACTAACACAAAATCAGTTCAGTCAGACTAAAGCATTATAAGTTGACCGATTGTTGCTTTTAGTTTAAGTAAAATAAAACTTTTAATTTACCACATTAGTCTCTGCACTCCAGTTGCTAGCCACAAAAACTGCTAACGACAAAACAAACGCATTATAAACAGTCACTCTCGCTAATATCAACAGCTTTCTTTAAAAGCAATGGGCTTCTGTGGGTTTTCACGTTTATGGAAGCAAATATAGACTGTCTAAAAGCAGACAGACACTCAACAAGTGAAAAATTAGACAGAAAGTAAAAGCGAAACTGAAAGCTCCATAGGCAGTCACCACATCTCACAAACACACACACACAACATCTTACATGGGTGTCACATAACTTTGACTCAAGGGTGAGTATGTGTTTATCTGTATAATTGCACAGTCCACAAATGTTATAGCAAAAAAAATAAATAAAACATAACTCCTATCATGTCCAGACACATTGATCAAATCCAAAAAACATCACCATAATCCACTCAAGCAGAGCATTAGGCATCAGGATGAGTGCAGAAACCCCCAGCAGACTGAAACGTCAGAGCAGTGCAGTGAGAAATGATGGACACCTGCATGCAGACACACTCAAAAACACACTCACACACTAAACGTGCCTCATGAAACACGCGGGTAAAGAGGCACACCCACACGCCGGCTTCCAGACACAGACTGAATCCACGCCGTGGCCCGCCCATGACAGAAAGAGCCGTCCCTGGAGGAGCTCACACACACACCAGCGCTCCGTCAACCCGGCGAGTTGACCGAAGACGCAGACAGAGCCAAGCGGCTTACCTCTCTTCTGGACCCAGCCTTCCTTGACGACGGTGACATCGCTCATGTTGCCTCAGTCACTCTGTACCCGCTGCTCCAGCACAGCAGCTCCTGGAGGAGTGAGGAGGGGGGAAGGAGGAGAGGGGAGGGGGGTCAGTTCTCCCAGCCTCAGCGTCTCTCTCTCTCCCTCCCTCACTGCTCTCTCTTTACGTCCTTCTCTCTCTCGCTTCGCTCTCAAAGGCGTTGTGTAGTGGTTTTCCCCTCCTTCCGTTGCTTTTCTCTTCGTGATGCTCTCTCTCTCTCTTTCTCTCTAGATCTTCCCACTCCTCGACAGTGACTCAGCCTGGGAGAAACATGAAAAAAAGAAGAAGAGGAGCGTGTGGATTTTTCAGTCTTCTATTCTTCTTAAGTCTCCCCTTCGTTCTTACACAGTCTGACAGACAGTCATTGTAAAAGCAGACGCACGAGCTCCCTGTCGCCTCTCTGATTTCCCTGTCTGTCTGTCTGTTTTTCTCGTTCTCATTCTCACTCTCTACATGCACAACTGTTTAACACTTAGCAGCAGCGGAGTTGCTCGCAACACCATGACTGTGAGAACAAATAAGCAAACATGAAGTCCCATGTTAAATGTGTCTGAAGTTGAGCGTTATGCAGTGTGAAAGTGTGCAGTCTCATTCACCAAATACATGTAGTAAGTATACTTGTGCATTTTCATTGTATTTGGTTAGTTACACACAAAATAATAGATGAGAGAGTGCATATTGACAATGGAGGTTTGAAAAAATGTTTGTTAAAAAAAAATCTTTGCCCTTTATACACTACCAGTCAAAACTTTGGAGGTCAGTATAGGATTTTTAAAAGTTTCAAAATAAGCTTATTCTGTTCACTAAGGCTGCATTTATTTCATCATAAATACAGTACATATTGTAAACTTGTGAAATGTTATTGCACTATAAAATAACTGTTTATAATTTAATTTAGATTTGATTTTATTGATGAATTTTCAGTTTTATTACTCCAGTCTTTAGAGCTAAATTAATTATTATTATTGTCATTATTATTATTTTTAATAAATAATTATTATTATTATTTTTAATAAATAATTGTCATTATTTTTATTATTGTTATTGTATTTATTATTATAATTTTTTTAATTATTGTTATTATTAATATTATTATTATTATTGTCATTATTATTACTTTTGTTATTATTATTATTGTCATTATTTTTATTATTGTTATTGTCATTATTATTATTGCTTTTATTTTTATTATTGTTATTGTCAATATTATTATTTTTTATTATTGTAATTGTCAATATTATTATTATTATTATTATTGTCATTATTATTATTTTTATTATTATTATTGTCATTATTTTTATTATTGTTACTGTCATTATTATTATTATTGTCATTATTTTTATTATTATTATTGTCATTATTATAATTATTATTCTTTTTATTAATGTAATAATAATAAAAACAATAATGACTGGAATAATAATTTCACTCAAAACTTTATTTTCTTTAAAAAAAAAATTATAATAATAATAATAATAAAACCTGGGGAAAAAACTGACCCCAAACTTTTGACTAGAAGTGTAAATTAAAAAAGATGAGCATTTTGGGAAACACTGAACTCAATTCAGGGTTCAACGCTAAGGATTTTTTTCTACTGGTCCGATCGGGCAAGTGGTTTAGATTTATACTTGCCCTGCCAAAATTTTCACTGACCCCACCAAAAAAAAAAAAAAAGTAAGTTATTAGCTATTTTTTAGCCACATATTTTAAATAATGTGTCAAAAATAAATTCTGTAAATCTAGAATTTCAATACTTAAAAAACAATTGTAAATATAAGTGTTATGCAAACAAAAACAGCCGTATGGAAAATGTGGAGGTATTTTATTGCAGTTTGAAATTATTTAACAAATGCTGGTTGACTTGTCAAACTGACGGCAAACTATGCATAACATCACTAAATTTTTATTTTATCGTGTTGTTTCCATGTAAATGTCTACTTCCAAGATGCTAGAGACAGACATTTTCGTTTAGCCTTATAATTTGATGTTGCTGACAAGTTGCTGTTTCTACGCTGTACTGGTTGTTACCAGGTAACAAAAAAAATAGCATGGTTAAATCAATCATATAAGACGAATCAGAAAGCAATATGTTGTTTACGACATTACAGAGAAGGTAGCATTTAAGACTTAAAAGCACAAGCTTTAAATGCACGCAATTGACAAATAGTCATAGACAAATTAAAAGTTAGTGACTGACAAGGCAGCACTGTCCCAATCGGGCAAGTAATGATCCGGTCTACTGTCCCAAGTGTTTCTCACACTGGCCCTGGGCCACCGGGCAGTCCTTATTGTTGAGCCCTGCAATTAAAATCTTCAGTATTTGCAAAATAATTACTTTTGTTAAGCTTACATAGCCTTACATGTGTACATTTACCATTGTGCAGAGAGGGCAAGATCAGCGAAAAACACTTTACATTTTGCAAAAACTAAGAATTTGGTTCATCACCCAAAACTACTCAATAAATTTGAGATTACATGAGTTTGGGTTCTGTCGATGCTTGTAATGTTTTTAAAATAAGATTAAAATATGTTCATTAAGGCTGTACTTATTTGACAAAAAAATTGTTACAAATGACACTGGTAGTATTAAAATTAATATTTTAATCAGGGCTGCACGACTTCAATCTAATTGCGATTTATCTTATCAAAATTGTGATTTAAAATGAGATTTACTATAATTTCATAAAAGAGCTGCAGGTTTGATGTGATGATTTTAACAGCACTAAAGAAAGACCAAGCATAATCACAAAGTACGCTACACTATACTGTTTATTTAGTAACATTTTTTTTTCCAATAAAGTTGTCAGTTGTTATGCCAAATTAAGAAAATATTTACAGTATTTTAAATCCAATTAAATAAATTATATATAATAAATTATAAATTATATATTTTATATAAAAAATCTTATATATAGATATATAAAATATTTAAAACCATTACATACAGTATAGATTGTTACATCTTTCATATTGAATTCATGACATTCACGGTGCACTGTGACAATGCTTTCCATATGCAATTTTAGACACCTGTGATTGGTCATTGTGTTCCTGTGGTTAACAGAAAGGGCTGCGATTGGCTCTAACGGTACAGATAAACGAGAGAGAGAGAGAGAGAGAGAGAGAGAGAGAGAGAGAGAGAGAGAGAGAGAGAGAGAGAGAGATGGAGTTTACAACTTTCATTTTCTCCATAGCAGTGAAAAAGTGACTCATGGGTCCTGTTGTCTGCTTTTTTAATAATCAAAATAATCATACCATTTATGATTTGAAAATCACACCTTTTCAAATCCCTATTTCCGTTAAAAATTCAATTCAAACAAAACAGAATTAATCATTATCATTAATCTGGCATTTCCAAACAGTGTTGTTTGATCCTCTATGAATAATTGTAATATTCAAAGTTGATGACCAAGGAACAGCTTGCTACCAGAAACGGCCTTTCACTTTTTTTGTTTTCAGCATTTTTTAAGCATCTTTACACAGCAGAGGCATCACAGAAACCAAACCTGAAGTGGCATAAACATTAAAAAATCTGTTTTAAACCATTTATGGTGACTTTACAGTGAATTGTGAGCAAACACAGACCCGCTATAAATCAGCTGTATAAAGAGGAATTTTGATAAACAAAATGTTCAATACAACAGCATTTACTTAAAATAAAAAAATTATTTGCAATTTTTTATTCCTCTTTACAAACTTTTTGATCATTTTAAATATATCCAATAATTAAGCTAAACATTAAAACAACTTCTTGACTCACATAAAGTTTACGACACGAGTTTGAATTTACTATCCTTTTTATAGCTTTCCATATTAAATCACCATTCACTTTTATTGCACAACATTCTAACAAAACCTTCTGAAGCTGCTGCTGATGAGTTTCAACTGAAACATTGTATGACATCAGAAGAACAGTAACAGCACAATCGTTTTTGGAATGAGGAAGAGAACTAAACATATGACACTGATAACAGATTGCCAACACTTATTTTAACCCAAAACGAGGAAACATCCACAGACATCTGTCTAAAACTACACAAATAAATAACGATTTGAATGTAAATAGCACAAATGGGCCCTTAAGCAGTAAGCAGCTGTTCTAGCAAAGTACACAAACCTCAATCATTATATCAAAGCAGTTTCAGGCAAAGTGAGCTTTGCAAAAACACAATAAAGCAACATATGTACATCTGCCTGAGATGTCAAGCAACAAAACTAATATGCTGCTTCAAATATACTCCACTTATATCATTTTTCCTTTAAAATGCATTGAACATTAAACATTCAATATGTTAATATAACATTTAGTTTTTGCAGAAGCAGGCACGTCCATCAAACCCAAGCTTCCAAATGAACACAAGTAGAGAAAAGGGAAGTCAACATGTTATCAACAGCCAAGCAAATAGCCTCTAAATGAAAGACTGAGTCAAAAGTAAAAGAGCGAAATGATTCTATACCTGAACTGATTCAGAAACTGTGACATTTGACAATGATCTTCTGATAAAGAAAATGGAAATGACTCAACACCACCAGAAGTGTGAAGCAAAATGAACAAAAAACTGAACACACAGTGCTGTGTCCTCGGTAAATGAAAGACAAACTACTGAAAGGCTCTCATTTTCCCTTCGGAGATAATTAACAAATGATGTCTGCTCTAGACTGCTGGACATGATGACGGAGTATGTCACAGATACTGAAAACACTGCATCGCCTAAAGATATGGAGACCACAGCAGTGCCCTCAATGTCAAGTAGCAAACAAATGACAATGCTCCGTCATACTGTTTAAATGAAAACAAATGTGGATCAGGAATATTTAGAAAAGACCAATAAAGGGCCTCTTGACACACGAGTGTTCGCAGTACCAACTGATAATTCCTGATTGTGTGCATTTAGCTGCAACCTTAATCTGCTGTTAATATGGTAAGGAGAGTGGATAGGTGATTCAAGGTCCAAAGAGATATCAGTGAAGCTCTTAATCATTTAACGCAAGCAGGAAACCCTGTACGCGAATCACAACATGAAAGACTCCACTTAGGAATATTTTTATTTAAGGTATGGTTTTGGATGTAAAAAATCCCCATTCATCTTCTTGACCGCAACTTGACGTAGGAGTGCGGTCCCCCCACCCACCGAATTGATTGACAGCTGCGCATATTACCATGTCCCGGTAGTCACATGTATAATCATATCAACAAGAGAAGACGAGCGCAAAGCAAACGGGAATAAAAGGTCTGTTCAGTTTGCTAGGATCATCAATC